AATAAACCAAGAAAGTGACCTGGATAATTTTTTTCTTATTGGATTTACAAAAGAGGTTTGATACAGACCTGAAGAATTCCATGCGATGGGATAAAAAAGAAATGAGTAATCAAGTCCTAGGAAGGTGCTATAATCTTACTAGAAGGCATTTCATTCTTTTGTCTTTTTTTAGTTTTGTCAGCAGAATGGACTTTAAAAAATGTATTTCACAAGTCTAATCCATGTTTATTCTAATTATTTTTTGTTGAATTAGCAACATTTGTCTGGTATCACAGTTAACTTTAAGACAAAACCAAACAATCCCTTTTATAGCTTAGTGTAGTGTTGTATACCAGTAGGTTCCCTAATATATTAAAATCTTATAAAGAGAAGAATTCTGCATTGTCTTTACTATGTCACTGAAGATGGAGGTTACATAATCAAATGTTTCCCTATTTCAAAAAAGACCTTAATGTATAAACATTCTAGCTGCTATGGGCTAATGGTTTGACCAAGTTATTTATTCATGTGTTAAGGTACCAGGACTTGATTGCAGGTATAATGAGCTACATTTTCGTGTTGACCTGATGGAAAGAGAGCCTGTTATTTAATTTTGTCCTCCTAGCTTTCATCACAAATGAAGGCAATAGTATGCTGGTGAGCGTGGATGGAGCCTTTCTGAGGTTGAACAACTTTTGATCAATCTTTTGCTGCTATTTCAGTGTCTTGTTTACTGTTATTGGCTTGCAGCATGTTGTAAATATGCTCATTAATCTGAAAAGGCGGCGGGGGATAATTTACACTCATTTTAGATGGAAACCCAAAGTATTCTCATAGGAGAGCTATGCTCAAATTGCAGTGATTAGTGCAGTTAAGAGAAGTAGTGATTTTGTGCCTCTTTATTCTGTAAAAATTGAATATATTTAAAATTTGAAAGCAAGTCTATTTGCCCTTATTTCCTTACATTTGTCTTGTGTCTTTTTTTTTTCATAAATTTTTATTGGGTTTCAGAAAAAAATAAAATACAGAAAGATCAAAAAGAAAAGGAAAGAAATAACAAAAAAGAGAAAAGTACAGGAAAAAAGGTAACTTCCAACTTCCTTTGGTACAGGCATAGGTATAAAATACTGTACATTCACCTCTTATTCTAATATCTAAAAATTCACATAATAAAGACTATCCTTTGTTTTAACATTTAAAAAGATTACAAAATAAGTTTATATCAACAAGAAATATAAAAAGAATAATACAAGATATTTCTGTAGTTATAGAATAAATCAGTCATCAAATCCCAAAATTAACATTTAAAAAGATTACAAAATAAGTTTATATCAACAAGAAATATAAAAAGAATAATACAAGATATTTCTGTAGTTATAGAATAAATCAGTCATCAAATCCCAAAATCTAAATTTCATTTTTTTTTGTGTGTCAAGTAAAAAGTCCAAGAGTGGTTTCCAAATAGAAACAAAACTGGACAATGGCCTTTCACATTTGTCTTGTAGTTGTCAGAATCCTCGCAATCAGTTAACCACCTTACTTGCCAGCTTGCTTGCTTGCTTCAGTTCTGCCATTAGGAGACATTGGGGGGGGGGGTACTAGTAGGATCTGGAAGGACGGATGAATGAAATGACCGTTAGAGGCAGATGGACTGTTATCAAAGACTGAGGAATGCTTAGGAGTGATGTATGTCAGCTGGTTAGAACAGTTAAGGAGTTGGTTAAAGATCCTTAAAATTACCTCTGAATTCTGGATAGTATGTTTGTGTGGATCTAGTGGTGATATTGCTAGCTCTTCATGGATTGTTAATTAACATTATGTAGTTTGTATGTTATCTCAATTTCTATAGCATGTTTATCAATCAGTCAATCATCTTAATTATGGTCATAGACCAGCATATTATAGCGTTTTTAAAATTCATTGCTTTCTTATACATAACTCATTATTCTCTACTGTTTCCTTTTAAAAAGGATGATTGCTGCTCCTTATGTTTCTGTATGTAGGAATAAGACTAAGAGATTTTGGCAAATTTGGTCAGCGTATTGGTATAGTTAACTGAGATTTGCATCTCCCATATTCGTGTTGTTGTTGTTGTTAAGTGGGGGGAATGGAACCCAGAGATATTACAGTCATTGGGCTTTTGTTAAGTCGTTCCTTTTACCTTCAGCACTGAAGTTTTAAGGGAATTTGGTGCCAGCTTCATACTGATACTAATAATTAAAAATACCACCTTCAGCAAAAAGAAATAGGCATCAAGGCATGATTTCAGATTTCTTTTTCTAAATTAGAATATAAATATTTACAGTCACAGAAAGTTAGTGCTAAAATACATTTATAATTTCTATTCCTTCAGTGAAGTGAATGTTATACAGCACAGTGAACACAACGCAATAACAGGTGAATGATCTATTGTTTGTTTTTCTATGTTTGTGAAAATTAGGCAAATAAAACATAGCTACTGATGAAATTCAAAAGGAGAAGGAGACTAAAGTCTACTAAAAATATTTACCCAAATATGTCATACTTGACAAAGTCTCTGGTAATAGGATTCTTCAGTCTCCAGCTTCATAATAAAAATAAAGTTGCCTGCAGCATGTTTCACTAAATAATTAGCAAAACTGGAACATGTAATACAGTTGGCTGTTGCTAATTTTGAATGTGTAGGAATTTAGTAGTATGTATTTTGTTATGTTTTGCTGCCTTGTTTTTCAATTTTAGTTTTTAAATCTTTCCTCTATAAAGTGCTGTGCGATGCTCTGATGATCAATGGCATTAAATGGAACAAAACAAATATCTGTTGCATAGGAGTCAGATTCATTATTTGAGCTCCCTATGGAACTTTAGCACCACTAAAACTTTGCTTTCCAAAGGTGTGATCATTATAGTCAATACATTCTCAGCATTTAGGTGCACTTTTCACTACAGTATTGAATCCATATTGGTGAATAAGGGAATACACTTTTCTGTTTGTGTGACAATGCTGCAATTGTAATATTTCATTGTGTATCTTGAGGGATAATATTTATATTAAACATTGAATCATAATTTTTTGATTTGGCTTAGATCCTGCCCTTCAGATTCTTTAGAATATTGAAAGAAGCCTCCTGAAATCGTAATGAAATGTATTTTCCAAAAGGAATTAAGAGTTGTTACTGATAAATGAAATCTGATGTATGCCTTGATTGATATTATTTATTCCATTAAATATTAGACAAGTGCTTGTTAGAATGCAGTGATCAAACTCTAGCCATGAGTGATAATTTCAAAATAGCCAGCCAGTGGACGGTACCCTCCTTGCTGATATTCTGTTTTTCTTTCTTACTGTTCTTGATAACATTCTTGAAACCATTCCACTTTGTTTGACTTGCCCCAGTATCCATCTAGATTTCAATAATTAATTTAATGTTTGTTTTTCAAACTCATATTTCCTTCAACAGGTTGCTTTATTTCTTTAACATATGCAATTAAATGTGAAACTAACAGTATCAGAAACTCTGTTTTGCTTTCATATTAGTTTGAGCACTGTCATTTGTAGAAAGCAAGAGGAATGGTTAAAGTTAGGATTTTAGAAATACAGAAGTTAAACTAATTCTTTTAATCCAGGTTTCTTTAATTATCAAGCTACTGATGTTATATTGTAGGAAATAATGCTAAGAAGCAAGTCAGACTGATCCGATGTACCCAATTACAAGGCTATTTTGCACAATATATGGCAGCAACTTGACTTTATCGCTAAGCATACACTTAACAAGAATATGTTGTCAGCAAAGGTTCCTTGCTACCTACATGTCCCATACATTTGCCAACTCTTACTTACATTTACAGATATTCACATGGTTACTTATGCACCGAAAACGGATAAAATAAAATCGCTTTTGGAAAACATTGCTCCCCATTACTGTTTGTTATAGCTTCTGTCTCTTATGTTTACAGCTGTTGTGTCTGCTATTCTCATGAAACAGAAGCAGCAGGACAGGTGGTCCTGTTTTATTTACCCAGGAATGCCACCTGCATAAAGACATCAAGAAGCGCGAAGGGCTTTTAAATTTCCTTTTCAAAGGGCAGCAAACAATTATTGTTTTTTAAATAAAACATATATGGTATCTGAGGTGGTACAATACGCTATTGATTTATGCTCTTTCATGTTGCACGTAAGGCACACATTTATTGTTTCCTACATTTTATGGAACACTGAAATTGGGACTGGGTTTTGCAGCATGCATGGCTATTTTTTATCTTAGTTTTGCAGGGACTATGAAAAAGTCTGATTTTGTTGAAATGGGTGAAAAAGTGCTAAGCTGGATAGATTAGATTTTTTTCTCTTGGTTTCAGATAATATGTGGGAGACTGTGGACTCCATGCTTCCGACATAGGAACAGGACCAGGTTGGGAAGCTTCACTTCTGAGAGAATGCTGGGAATTTGTAGAGGGCGACGGAAATTCCTGGCTGCCTCTCTGACTCTGCTTTTTGTTCCTGCTATAACCTGGATTTACCTGTTTGCTGGGAGCTTTGAAGGTAAGAAAGAAAACCTGCTTGATCTTGGTAGGGTCTGGGAGTTGGTGAGTTCTGGGATTTTCATCACTGTCACTTCAGATCTAGCAGCCTTGAGACAGTTTGGAGGAAGTAGTCTGTTCCCTCTCCTGTTTTCCTAATCCCCTAAGGCAGGGTTCCTCAACCTCAGCAACTTTAAGATGGGTGGACTTCAACTCCCAGAATTACCCAGCCAGCATGAGGAATTTGCTGAGGTTGAGGAACCCTGCCCTAAGGGAATAAGAAGAGGAGGAAAAGCAGCCTTTGCATTGCTGTGACATTGTCAATATCTACATTCCTGATCACCAGGTTAGTTCATTCCTGTGGGTATACTTGTTATGGGAACTGAAGTATACATTGATTTATTAACAGCTTAGATTGATTTTTCTCCAATTGACCATTTGGAAAAGTATCTCTGTAATTAGCTCTGAGACTTTGAAAGGGAGATATGGTATCTGTACATTTGTGCCTTATTTACTTATATATTTATGTGTTTACACAGCTGTCTCTGTGCAAAGGCAGTTTCAGAACTGATGGCAATATAGTTGGAAGCAATCTGCATGAGTTTTTGATATAAACATTGTGCATAAGATGTAGCTCTTTACATCTTTATTTTTAGTAATTTTCAAGAGAACAGCTGTATTTTTATTATTATAATTTATTTAGTTTTAATGCTCTAAAAAGCTCAACCAAGACTGACATGCAATAGCAAATTTCCTTTCATGTTTCAATGATTTTATATTTCCTGTATTAAGCCCTTTAAATTTCTTAGTGTCTTTTTTGTTTGTTTGCTTTATGAACTAGGACCTTGAGGAAGATGGTTTAGCTTAGTGTGGGCATTTTCATTTTACCAGCCATAGCTTTTCCCAAAATATTCCATTCTCTTTCTTCTTTCCTTGGCCACTGAACTTATTCAGCCCTCAGTGAATTAATAAGTTTTCCCTTTAAAATCTTTTTCCCCACCTCAGATGTTTTGCATGTCACAGATTCTACTGATACCTTTTTCTCATAGATGAATCGGATATTTTAAGAATATAAGAATCATCCTACAAGATCAGACCAAGGGCCAAGCCATAATATTTGGTTTATTCTTATATTCTTCCAGAAGGTCTCTGAAGATTAATTATCATCAATGGTGCCTTGCCAAACAATTTTCAGCTTGTTAATTAATTAGTTAATTAGTACCTAATCTGGAGCATGAGATTTTGGATTTTACTATTTTAATTAATTATATTGATTTTTGTGCTGCGGTAAGTCACTTAGTGTCCATTAGGTTTGGGGCAGTGGACAAATCTCATTTATAAAATAAATAAATACTTTTCTAATTGTACTTTTAGAATTAGTTTCAGTAAGAATAATTTTTTGAGCATTCCATAAGTACTTCAGAACACAACAACTAAGGTATACCTGTAAGAAACCTAACTTATTATGAATTGACTGTGCAGCTATGTGGTAATTTGTAAATAGGGTAGAGCTGGACAGTTTTGACGAAAGAAAAAAAAATACATGTTTGATCACACTGAATTCTAAGTGCCAACTTGGAACCCAGAACCATCCACTTTTCAAAAGAGTGGCATTTTACATTTTAATAATGTGTTTAAAAAATCACATAATATAAAAAATCAATTTATCATATGTATGAAGCATATATATATATATATATATATATATATATATATATATATATATATGCATTGTTTATGTTTTATTAACAAAGCTTTACATTGCTGTTAACAAATAACTACTTATTTCCATTACTAATAAGATGGCTGAGGAGAAAAAATGCTATTTTCAAGGGTCTTTGTATAATCAGGGTAGGGAATGAAAGCAGGGGCCAACATTTCCCTAGCTAGTGAGAACTATTACTCCGAAAACCCCAGCTGCCTTCAGTGAACTTGAAAAGAATAGTCAAATATCGATTAACTTGGAAATACAAGAGGAAGAAGCTTATAATTTAAAGCCTGGACCAGTGACTTAGTTAGTTAGTTAGTTAGTTAGTTAGTTAGTTAGTTAGTTAGTTATTAAATTTCTCCCCTGCCCATC